CCCACCCCCCCACCATATGGAACTCGTCGACCCGCCAATGCAGGAGACGCATCAACAGCAGCCTGCATAACACAAGTACGTCACTTGCGTAAGCCTCAGTGCTGTTTCGTGACCAGATGACCTCTCGACGTACCTGATGGTGAGCCCGTGCGATACGATGACGATGTTTTCAGCGCAGCACTCGTGCTGGAAGTGCCTGTGCAACTTCTCCACAAACGCACTCACGCGGTCAAACACATCACTGCCGCTCTCGCCACCAGGGAAGCTGCACACAGGTACGCATGCCAAATACAACATTCATATTCATCCATACATGCACCAGCAGCGGCATCGTGTTGGTGTACCGGTAGTAGAAGTGCCCACATATGCTCCGGTACGCAGACTCCTCACGCAACTGAGACAAGGGCTTGCCTGCACACATACACAAACAGACGGACAGACAGACAGACACTCTGTTAATCCGTTGCCTCGTCTGTCTCCCTCCGTCGCCCTCTCTGCGTAGGTACCGAATCCAAACTCCTGCTCTCTGAGCCTGGGCTCCTCACTCACAGATATGCTGGCCTCGTCGTTGACACTGGCCGCAGCCCCAGACACGTGCTGCCGTGGGAACGCCAACCGCCGCCTGTTCATGCCACCCCTCGGTCGTCGCATCATGGGTGAGGACATGAGGGCATCGGTGCGCTCCTTCTGACTGGGCAGCGCCTTGGTGCGGGCCTTGGACCGCACCCGTGTGGCCGTGGCGCCCTCCATCTCGGTCTGGCACTCCATCCCCCCCGATTCCTCATCATCGCTCGCGGGCTCCCCCCTGTCATGCCTCGCCCTCTCCCTGGCAGTGGATGTCCTCTTGGTGGGCGTCCTGCTGCGGCGGGCGCCGCCGTGGCCGGGCAAAGGGCCGGTGGAATGTGGCTCCGTCCGCTCCCTCTCCCTTTCCCTGTCCCCTCTGTCTCTGTCTCGGTCGCCGTCAGCGAAGGCGTTGTTGAGGCAGAAGTCGGGGGGGTGGGAGTGGGTGCGAGTGGGGATGTAGTTGTAGTCGACAAACGACTCCATCATCCCGCTGATCGTCTGCTGAGCCCGTGCGTAGGGGCTGCAGTATATCTTGACGCTCTCCTTGCGAGGGGCAGAAGGCATTATCAAAGACAAGGGCCACGGGAGAGGGGGAGAGGGCGGGGGCGACGGTGGGGGCGCGATGGGAGGCCTGAATGAAAGACAACAATACACAATGGATCATGAGCAGGGCTGCTCTGAGGATGTTGTGCGTCCTCACTTAGGCGTCCGTGTTGCGGGGCTTGGACTCCTGCTGCTGGTGGCCGAGCTGGGAAGAGGGACCGGACACACAATGCGGCGAAGGGCACGACCTGCCTCACGGGCCTGCTCCCAACCTGACAATCAAGATACACATGAAATGGGTTGACTCGGCCCACCTGCCTGCCTGCCTGCCTCGTGACCATCGGATGCGCATTCAAACATACATACCTCTGGGGGTGAGGTTGATGAGATGGTCGGGTGTGACTGTGTAGACTTCAGCATTGACGTTCCCCTCACTCTCTGCGTGTCGCACAAGGATGACCCGCTTGGGCATGTTCTTGACCTTGTAGCTGCGCATCAGCTTGGTCACCAGCTTGCCCAACAGCGCCTCCAAATACTGACGCAGCACGCCCTTCCACAGGGGGTAGAAGGCCAGGCACACGCCGAGGACTATGATTATCCGCCTGGCATTGCTGTGGTGGAGGTAGGCGCCCATCAAGCTTTGGAGTGTCTGCCGCAGGTGACCCAGCGCATGCCTCATGTCCCTGGCAGACAACGAGGGAAACGCAAAAGGGACAGACGTCCGAGGCTGTGAACCCATCTCGTCATATCTGTGCTTACGCGTCGTTGTGGTGGTGCACAGCCCATGAGTGGGGAAGTTCTCTGCCGCGCCGACGGGAAGGCACAGCCACCGTCCGATCGTGACGCTCAAACAACATAGCCGACGTACCAACAATCTATCCTTTCATCAGGGAAGCGGCATTCACGATTCCATTGCACATTTTTTTTCTTCTGCCTTGCCTCTCGTGGATCGCGCCTCCTGGGCGTTTTCGGGAAGGGAGTGGATGGAGTGGATCATATGCGTTTTTGGCGCTCTGCTGGTGTGGTGTGGCAGGTTGCAATTGGCAGGTTGCTTTTCGCTCATCCATTCAAGCACTCGAGGCCCCGCCTGAGTCGACCTGACCTGTGTTGATCTGACCTACTGAGCAGAACACAAGACAGACAACCACTACCGCTCTCGCATTGATGAAGATGCTCATCTCTTTGGTGTCATTCGGAGCCATCTCCCCCTGGTGGATGGCCCTACCTGCCGCGGGCAGTCATCACACTATTCCTCTGCCGCGGGCAGTCAACCGACATAGGGCCTTTCTATTCCGCAGGAAGCCGAGGAGCACACGAAAAGGCGGAGTCGAACCTGCTTCCTTGCAGGAACTCTACATCGCCGTCCGTCACGGCGAGTCCGAGGCTAACGTGCTTGGCATCATTTCAAGTGACCCTTCAGTGGCCACTGCTCAACATGGCCTGTCCCCCCTTGGCGAGCACCAAGCTCACGCGGCAGCCAAAGATCTGGCAGAGGCCGTCATGGGGATGACTCCCAAGCCACGGCGAGTCATGGTCGTCTCTTCGCCCTTCCGCCGGGCGTCGGAGACGGCGGAGGCCATCGTCTGCGGCTTAGAGAGGGCTCTGAAGGAGGATGAAGTAGAGCGGGGCACCGAGCTGGAGATGTGGTTCATCCTCGACTCACGGCTGAGAGAGCGCAATTTCGGCCGTTTGAACGGCCAGTCGACCAAAATGTATGAGCGGGTATGGGAGGCGGATGCCAAGAGCGCCTCTCACCGCAAGTGGGGTTGTGAGTCATGTGAAGAGGTGCTTAGCAGAGTGATGCGGTTGATCAAGTGCATCGAGGGCGAGTCGAGTCGCGACGACAGCAGCCCTGCTGATGGTGATGCAGTGACTGTGGAGAGGGTGATGAAGTGTTCGGGCGGCAAGGTGGAGGTGGTCCACCACGGGCACTCTTATCCTGATTGCCTTCCTGGCTCAGTGGTGATCTTGGTGGCGCACGGCGATGTGCTGCAGATCGCGCAGACTGCATTCGTTGGCATCTCGTGTCATCAGCACCGCTCATTGGATCACCTCACACAAGCTGAAGTGAGGGTGTTCAGCAGGTGAACATTTGGTGGACTGAGTGTTGACCGCGGATCGAGGGAAAGAAGCGGGCGGAGTCACGTGTGCAACACTCATCAATCGGTGCAAGCAATCGGGCTTGCTTGGACAATAGTGACTTGTGGATCTTTGCTAATTCCTGATCGGATAATTCTGATGGTGATGCTTATGAATATGCTCTCCGTCGGGCGCGCCGTACCAAGCACCTCCCTTTCACCGGACGAGAACTCCTCCTGGACCTCAGTAGCATGCACAGCAGGGCCTTGTGCATTTGAATCAATCGTTGATCCACAGCTTCAAGGAAGGCTCGACGGCAAGACCACCGCCTTCCCTCTGAAGTATGGCCATGAGCGATTCTGGAAGGACTGTGCCCTCCGCGCAACAACGTTGGCGACCTGGCTTCTCATTTTTGGATTGACCTGGATTTACTTCTCAGGTTTCATGCTCGTTTGTTCTGCAGAGACTGCAAGGCAGTGCAGAAACGGCTGGAGACACGAGATCTGATCGGCGTTCCCATGACAACAGAGCCCGACGAGCAGCCTCTGTGGCACTATATCCCAAAGCCCACCATCGTCAGCTCCGACAAGCAGGTTCGAGAGCTGTGGACACGAGACGACGATGTCTTGGGAGTGTCTGCCAAGTTCAGCATCAGAGGCAAGCTCGATGTCTATTATCCAACCGAGCTCGCGTTGCCCTTTCGAAGCTGGGTGACGGGTGCGGCAATTGAACTGCTGAAGCTCGTGCCTTTGTGGGGTCCCGACAGGGAGATTCTTGCCTGCCACATTCGCTACGGGGATGATGATTTTCGGCAAAAGTTCGGCGTCCCGCCATGGTCTGATCTGATGAGTATTTTGCCACTATCGTCCTGATCTGATGATATCAGAGTAGGTTTTATTACATGAATCCTTGACAACATCCACAAGGGCATCAGAAGTACCACACGGATCATTGTTTACACAAAGGTCCGATTCTGTCCGCACACTCCTTTCTTCCTCCACACCGTCCACTCCTCGCATATCGTCGTGTGTGTGTCTGTACACCTCACATATGCATGGACTTTGTGTGCGTCGGATGTTTACCTGTCTCGGTAGGGAACGCTGACACAGAGTGTATCGTCCATTTCACGCCTTGTTTGTTCTGACCCTATATGTGGTCATAAAAGCGGCCTGATTCAGACTCTTCCATTGCAAGCCTCGTGTGCGGCAGTCCCTTTTGCTGTCCATATCAGCTTGTCGGGCAGCACGGGAGTGGCGCCCATGGCCACCATCAGACGCAGTACAGCTCGATTCTTCTGATGGTTTGACAGGAGTACCTCAGAGCAAGCCAGATGTGTGAGACGATTCCAGAAGGCTCTTCGTCGCGAAGCGACAAGCCAGCTGGGGAGAAGGCTATATTGCCAGACCAACGGAGGGAGGCCACCCCAGTTGCCGTAAAAAAGGACGTCAGACACGATGACCAGGTCGAACGCGGGTGGGAACCCCCTTGGCAGACGGGAATCGGGATCTTGCATGGAGAAAAGGTCGAATGGAGCGACGATGCAGCGGCTATCACACCGCCTCTTCGTGACGTTGACCTGACGGTAAGAAACACTATTGACACATGCATCGTGATGGCTTTTGTTACCATCAGGGGGCTGATGTCGCTGCCGTAGTGCCTCGCCTCTGGATATTTCTGGGCCAGACAGGTGAGCAGAAAACCCGTATTGCATGAAGTGTCCCACAAAGAGCGAAAGTCTTGATGGGTCTTCGAGATGTAATCATCAAACTCGCGGTGAACATTCTTTTCGTAGTGCCACAGGCCGCCTTCGTTCGTAGCGCTTGCATGCAGGCTATCCCAGATGTGGCGAGGCCCGAAGGGGAGGAGGTAGACCACCCAGACGCCTCTCCGCATCCTCGTGAGCAGCGCCGGCTCAAAGATGGCCAGCCAGCACCAGGAGGCCGTGGCCACCGCCAGTCCTCCGAGACATACCGCGGCTGTCCTCCTCTTCATAATCTCATCAGTTGACTGCCGGGATCACGAGAAGCACAACGACGTATGCAACCACATATGTCATCGATGGTGTTGTTGACTTCTCCTTCGTCTGCTGTTGTCATCTTGCCTCGACAGCTGACTAGGAAAGAGAGGCCGCGAAGTAAATCCATTTCCACGCGAGTTGTGTTTCACGCGACAGTTAGGGCGACACTGAACACACAAAAGAATGAAGATGAATGAGAGAGAGGCAGGGCTATCCTATCTGGAGCTACTGCGTCAGGCTCCGCTACAACTCACGCATCCCTGGCAGATACGGGTGGCGAAACCAAGGCCGAGAAGTGAGTGCAGGACAGAACGTGCATGTTTTGGGCCTTGGCAGCGCTCGGCTTCGTCTGTCATAGGTCGGTACAGTTACCATGGTGGTACACCAGCAGCTCCTGACGCCGCCGTCCACCGAGTGATCCCTCGACGACACAGATCGCAGAGGACGGGTACGCAGGCAGGCCGAAGCATGAAATGGACGCTAAATGGTTGTGTGCCTGCTGTTCATGCAGAGAGTCCCCACAGATCCCTTCGACGTCAGATCTCGCGGAAGGTAGCTGCGTAGAAATGCGGTTCGGTAGATGAGCTTCGCCCCGTGTGTTGTGAATTCATCCATTGTCAGTCATCGTCTGGAGGTCCCTCCCCCCGTGGCGACGATGATCAGCTGCGGCTCGAAGACGTCATCGAGGCATCAGGTCTGCCTCAGGAGCATTCAGAGGTCTAAACCATATTACAAGTACATACATCTGTTCGTTCCTGCAGAGACTCCCCGTGTGCGTGACGACGTGTCGTCGATAGCACGAGATGACGAAGACGACGCCAGAAGCATCGACTCGCGAAGGACACAGAACGAGATGAGCAATGCAGCACAGAGGATACCCAACCTGGCTCCTGCACCGGTAAGGGAGGGGGAGATATGTGGGCCGTGTAGATGTGGGTAGTTATGATGATACAAAGAGAAAGGGTAATTTGCATCTGATTATCGCCCTAATGGCGCTGATCGACATGCTCGATTGTCTGGCTGAACGATACGTACATGACAGCTCTATACATTGCTCTATGAGCGTGCGCCTGGGCACCGATGTTCGTGTCCCTGTTTCCTTTTGTCCTTGCAGGACCTTACTCAAGCCCTTTCCATCACTGCTGACGCCTCCCGCTCGCCAATGGCCGACCTCTGGGGCGAAGCTAACGCAACATCATCTGTCCCTCCCGCCGTTCGTGCAGCCCTCCCTCCCAAGGCCCCTCAAACTCCTAAGTCATCGTCCGACAACGAGGCCACATCAGCAGCCGGCAAACAGGAGCCAGAAGGTCAGGACGGGCATCAGGATGCTGATGAGCAGCGAGGCAGAGGTGAGGGAGAGGGTGCTGGTGACATGGATGTGGATGTGGATGCGGATGCGGATGCGGGCGAGGAGGAGGCCAAGGCTGAGGTCAAGAAAGCTGCTGCGGATGCCATGTCGCCAAGAAGCAAGAGGAGTCGGCTGGCTGACGAGGCCTTCGAGAGGAGGTGGGCGGCGCAATGGCCATCGTCTCAGGCACTTGATGGGTCTTTCGCATGTCACGAGTGGCATCATGATGTTCCTTTGCCAGGTATGAGGAGGTTGAGCGCATGAGTGAGGAGGAGCAGCGACGAGCGGCACTGCTGAGAGGTATGGCTTTCTGAAGGTGATGTCATTACTCGACACATATCGATGTACTTGTCGCCCGTTGGCAGAGGGTCTCGGGAAGATCTTCCCCTTCCGTGTCAGCTGGCTCGATCACGGTCCGCCAACCAAAGACCACAAAGACGTAACCAAGGGGAGCGGATAAAGAAACCCACAATCAGGACATCACGTGGATGCATCTGTGTCCGTGTCGCTGTTCGCCTTGGATGGATGATCAGAGTTGGCACGACGAGCCGACCTATCGCGACTGGTACGAGATATGGAGCTGGAGCAAGGCGCGACACGACTTCCGGATGAAGTTGCGGGAGGAGAAGAAACGAGAGGCACAGCAACAACAGCAAGAGGACCAGGATGAACGGGTGAGACGCACCGGACCCAAGGGATGTGCACACGACAAGCCTGCCCATTGCTGTCCGTGTTCAGTCGCCCACTGGCATGCCAGGTCACATCCGTGCCCGCTGTCAGCTGTCGGCTCTGAATGGGATGCCCAACGCTGAGGCGCTCAATCAGGCGAGGCAACGGACGGGAAACCCTGATACAAGCAAGGGCCTATGATTTCTCTCTTGTCCTATGTGTCCATCCATCGATCCGTCAGGTGGAGGACCTTCCCCTGGACGCACCCGCCCCCGAGGAGTTCCACCTGGCTGTGTTAGACGCCCTTCAGGAGGAGTTGGCCTCCATGCCCGCCCCCTACCACCCACATGTGTCGCACGACACCTTCTACGAGGCGCGAACACAACTGTTCCGCGACAGGCTCGACGGCGGGCTGGGCATCATGGAGGGCCCCGAGGGTGGCCTGGCCATGCACACCATGAACGGGTGGCGGGGAGAGGGCACACGGCTCGTGTGGCAGCTCAAGGACCTCGCCTGGTGGCATCGGCCAGACTTCAGGGCCGTGGCCGCGCTGTTGCACTCATACATGAAAAAGTACCCCCAGGCGCCGCCGTTCGATATCAAGTCAGCGATGCTCTCACGAAGTCCACGTGTGCCGTACTGCGACATATCTGTGTCCGTTTGTGTTCTCGGCTGTGCAGTTGTGCCGTTCCTCCCCCGCCAGTGGTGGGTGAAGGGGCAGATGAGGTGCCCGAGACAGACCCATTCATGGACTTCACTGGCCTCTCAATGAGGTGGACGTCCGCTTACACTCAAGGCAGATAGATGGATGGATACCTGCACAATGTGTGTCTGTGCAGTGACACGATGCCCATGGCGGTATTGGAGTTCATTGAGCAGCATCCCCTCCTGCTCAGCGGATTCGGCATGGGCATACGAATCACCAAATACCAATGGTACTTTACAGCGGGGCCCCCACGCGGGCACCTCCTCCACTAGTGCGTCTGGTTGTATGTCCTGTCTGTCTGTCTGTTGGCAGGGGTGAGATATCTCCCGAGCAGCAGGCCCGTCTGGGTCCATATGGCCAGGTGCATTCCTTCAACGTCAAAGAGCCCAAGTACCCCCTGTTGGAGCACCAGATCCGCGCCAAGCCCCACCACGCCCTCTCCATCGCCGAGGGCGTCTTCAAGGGGCCCGTCTGGTGCCACAAGGCCACACACCCCAAGTCGCCACCACTCTCCAATCACTTCCTCCTCATATCCAACTTCAAAAACACCGAGGCCAAACCTCTGTCCGTCTACCGCAGTCCAGACGACGAGCACCGGCCCAAGAAGAAGCAGAAGTACGAGGACGAGCTGCCCCTCTGCAACGTGCAGTTCATGATACGCCCGCTCACCGGTGTGGGTGGTGACGGCAAGACCGCTCCCATGTCGTGTGCCGTGTACACGGTGGGGCAGTGTGAGCCCATGGCGGCCGTCAGTGCACCAGCCCCGCCCGGCAAGGACCCACCGCCCGTCTACAACCTCAAACGCATGCTCGCCTACTACCAGCGGTCAGCGCACAGACGCACAACACGATACCCTGCATAGACGCGTCTTCAACTCTCTGCCTGGGTCCTTCTGTCTGTCCGTCTGTCCGTGTGTGGTCAGTGCTCGTTTCCACATACAGGAGCGTCCTCAGAGCGAGGAAGACGAGTGGCGCAAGAAGATCGAGCGCAAGTTCAGGGTGGATCGTCACCTGTCTCACATGCCGCTGGACAAGCTGCGCCAGGTGCTGCTCATGGAGGACGCCAAGTGGCTGCCCAAGCCACTCAGGGACTTCATCATCAACGAGAGGGGCGATGTCGAGAACCTAGACACCAGGGAACTCGCCCTCAGGAGACTGCTCAACCCTATGGAGGTCAGCCATAGCACGCGAATCGACTGGACAGACCATCGTATGTTCTCAATGCGCTATGCAGGTGTGTGCATTTGAGAGTGCCGAGGTCGGTGTGAAGCGGCTCCTGGATGCTGGCCTGAAACGCATACCTGCTTACGAAATGGTAACACGTGACAACAGCCCCCTCCCTACCCCCTTCGATGGCTAGTCACATTTGCATCCCTTTCCTTGCCCCTCTGCAGCCCCACGTGTTCCGCATGATCAAGCTGTTCCTGACCCATGTCGAGCGCACCGAGAAGGCCAACGCCCTCGCACGTGACCGGGCGCTCGAACCCGGGGGGCAGGACGCAGCACGGGCTATGCTGGAGGCCATGCGCAAGTACAGCAGCACCACACGGCAGGAGGGGGAGGATGACGGCGGGATGCGGCCGCTGCCCCCCGTGAGCTTGCGCAACTACGAGGGCCACTCCCGTTCGTCGCTGTCTGTGACTGCGCGCGAGGACTTCACTCAGCTCATCACTTATGTGGAGGAGACGCTTGCCATCTCGCCGTGGAACCTGGCTGAGAACTACCACGTTGTCTGTGAAGACGTCAGGAGAACCAAGGTGAGAAGGAAGCAGACGTGGCACACATGCACATTTGCGGTAGCGTCCGTGGATTATCTCGTGTTGCGTCGTCAGGCTGGCAAGACGCACGAGTCGTTTCAGTTTGTGCTCAATGGTCCGGGTGAGCCGTCAGCAGGTCGCGGTGAGGGTCTGAGTTTCCTGAAGCGCAAGAGCAAGAAGAAGGAGGACAAGGAGACCAAGGACAGCAAGAGGGTGACCGAGGACTACCGCAGGCTCAAGGAACCAGACCTGCGGCGCCGACTGATGCGATACGGATACGAGTGGGAGAGGGTCAAGACCCTCAAGCGATGGGACCTCGTCAGCCTGGTAACAACCACCACCCACATAAAGACATGAATGTCAGTCTGCGTATGCCTCTGTATGGCCACCAGTTGCGGAGTCGCGACGACAGCAAGAAGGGCGAGTCGCGTCACCACTACCTGAAGCGTCTGCAGGAGATCTTCCACAACCAGGAGTTCGCCCTCTCACACCACAACCCACCAGACAGCGAAGAGGAGGAGGAAGCACCTGACCACCCAATGCCCCCCCAGCGGCGAGCCATGGACCTGGAGGGCGGCACCGCAGGCGCCATGGCGGGCGGCGTGGGGTCCGGCAAGGGCAAAGGCAAGGCCTTCCCCTTCGACGGACCCGCACCAGCTGCAGCGGCAGCAGCAGGAGGCGGCATGGGTGCGCTGGGGGCTGGTCCGGCCAACGATGAGGATATGGACGACCAGGATGACCTGCTGGCTGACTTGGAGGGCGGCATCGAGGCTCACATGGCCAAAGAGTCACAACAGCCGAGGAAACGCAAATTCGTGAGCAGAAGAGAAAAGAAGGGAATGCCACAGCAAAGCTACAGTTTCATTTTTCTCGCATGCCTTCAGGGCGAGTCTGAGGTTGACAACGAGGCGCTTGAGAAGCTGCGTCTGGAGGAATTCAAGAAGGCGCGTGGCGGGGGTGCGTTTGGTGGGCAGCACTACCGGTACGTCCCGCGCATCAAGTGGACCAAGCGGGTCAAGGGCGATGGTAACAAACTCACTGAGAAGTCGGTCTACATCTACGGCGAAGAGCGCATCGCCGCGTTCCTCAGCTGGAGGGCCAAAAGGGACGCACGCAAGCAAGCCAAGGTAATGCGAACAGACGGACGGAAGACATCACTCATCGATACACTTGTCTGTGCGTGTTCAGTTCCGTCTGTTGGCCCGTCAGCGGCAGCAGGCCGTGGGTCTGGATCTGGAGCTCGAGGCCAAGCCCGTCAAACCCGACAGCGCCCTCCTGCAGGCCGCAGCCGACAGCGCCACCCTGCAAGAGAAGATCCTCCGCGCCACCAACACTCGCCAGATCCAAAATCTCAAGCAGGAGGCCGACCGCATCAAGGACGAACAGGCCCTGCAGATGCTACTCATACGCGAGAGGGAGCTCTACTCATCTCGCAAGGAGGCCGACCCGCTCGATATATGTAAGTATATGCAGAAAGCGTACACGTTTGTACTCATTACTCTTGTTGGTACATACATTGATTGTGTTGTCACAGATCGCGGCAACATGCAGGGCAAGCACTACAAGCTGCCTCTGTATCACTTCAACGTGTGTCTCAAGGGTCTGATTGAGCTCATCGAGAAGAGATACACCGAAGTCCGCATGCCTGCTGAGGGGCTCGTGCCCATTACCGTGAGTGACGATCGCACACCCACAGCAAGAACAACGCACACTCGACCGTCCAATCATATGCCATGCTTGAACCACTCGTATCTTTCTCCCGTGCCCGTCAGATGTTTGCGCGTGAGGTGGACGAGGCGAGGGACCAGGCGCCCAACTACTACCAGTTCATCGCGCCCAAGGACCACTTCAATCTGGAGCGCATCAAGAAGAACTGCACCAACAAACACTACGCGTCACTCGACCAGTTCCTGGCCGATCTCGACATGATCCGCCAGAACTCCCAGCGCTACAACGGCCCTGCGGACAATGCCAGGCCCAACACCCCCGGCTACGTCACCAAGAGTGCCGCGGTGCTCGTCGAGGAGGGAAGGAGCCTCATCGAGAGGCTCAGGCATGAAGCCAACAACATCATAGTGGAACTGGAGGGGCTGGCCGCAGCGCAGCAGAGGGAACTATGATGGATGTATGTGTTTCTTGATCTGCAGTATGAGGGCCAGCGAGCGGTCCTATTCATATGTGGCCAGTCCACTGATTGAGTCAACAGACTGGCCATCTGCATGGAGGGTGAACCTCTGACTGACGGAGGAGCTTGGATACGCACCCCTTATGCAAAGCTAGGGACATACGCGCGCAACGGTCGTTGCGCAAAAGAAAAAGTAACGCTTGTCCCAAGCCTTAGTACAGCGTACGTAAACGTCTCTAGACAGAGAGTGTGACTCTGGGTCTCCTCCCCAATCCTCGCGAAATCCGAGTCATCCATGATGGGTCCTGGTCGCGTTGCCCTCCTGGCGCTTCTCTCCTGTGCCATGGCTGCTGCCGCCCGGGAGGCGCTATAGACGCGATTTTACGTGCCCCCGGATCCTCGCGGACCCACTGCCCCCTGTTCATGACATGGCATTGGGAGACCCCACCTCCCTCGCCCATCATGTCGTCGGACTTCTTTGGCGACACGACCAGCCGTGGCACTGAGGAGCTGGCTGAGCGCCTTACCCAGCTCAAGACATTGCTGCACGGCCGAAACGACAACGCCACGAGTGAGTTTTTTATGCGTGTTTTGACAGGGCTGGGTATCACTGCAAGACGACACACACGTCACGCTACCCGTCTGTGCATGAATTTATCCTAAGGACAGGTTCAGCAAGCCTCTCGCCCCCTATCTCGTTGCGGCGATTCGCTCAATTCCGACACCAGTCGTTATTGCCATCCACAGAGTACACCAGGAATGGCTCGTCCGATTCCTTGTGTCCTCGTGTGATCCTACACACATACACAGAAGCACCACACGTGCACGTAAAGACCATGCCCATGGGACCATTAGGGCGGAGGATGTCGGTGGAGGGGTCCCTTTGCTGCATGAAGTGCTGGTCCTTGCGCGACGGATCAGATGACCAAAAATCGGCACCTGTGTGTCATATTATGATCCAGTATTTAAATTTCCGGCACAAGTACCCCAAGCAGCTTTTGGACGGTCTGGGTGACCTGCCACTCGCGTACTCTACCGTCGCTGCTATCCTACATAGATGCACAATCGCATAGGAATCACAGGACTCCTTGTCGACTGATGTGAGGGGCTGACGCACTTGTCCGGTGGCAGCGGCTACAGAAACATCTCTCATGTGCGAAAGCTGCCAACGCCTGACGAATTCACATTTGCAGAAACATGAGAAAGGATCTCCCATCTTCATATCGTCTGCCCACCTGATAGCGTTAACGCTCTTCTTAGCTCAGCAGCAAATAACCGATGTATGCAAGTAGAAGCAGCACTGAACAGATGACACAGAGGTGGGCCAATGTCTTCTCCTTACCACCAATCTTTGAGCCGATTGAGCATCGTCTACTAAGCTGCGTCGATTGATCATCGACCTCCCCGGGCTTCACAGCGTTCATCGTGACGTGTGACGGCGTCTAAGGGAGAGCGGCCAACCGCTTCATTCGTTGCTTGGCCGAGCTCATCAACCAGAGGGGCGGGTAAGACAAGCACGGCACTGGCCGAGTGGAGCAATGGATTCGTGCGCGGCTGTCAGTGTGCCTAGCTCGCTCCGGCGGCCCAGGAGGAAGGGATATAAAGCAGATCTCTTTTCGGAAAAAAAGTGGGAGACCAAGACCGAGACGAAAGAGAGGACTCCAGAGGAGGGGTTTGTTGAGTTTCGTAAAACTGATCTGAGTCTGACCTTCGTGCAAATGAGAAATGGGACATCCTGACCGCAGTCGGCATTGACCTATCTGAACCTTGTTCGCAGGCTGCGAGAAAACATTGGCTGGAAGCCAGGATGCGACACGTTTTGCGTAGCTTCTTTGTCCTCGGTAGCCTCCTTCTCCTCGGCAGCTTCCTTCTCCTTCATTTTCCCTTTTTCATCCGAGACCCTTCTGCTGGGAAGCCAAAACTTACTGTCGCGACTCAAAGGGCTAGAAACATAACGTAGGTCACTTAGCAGCAAGACAACAGATTCTCGTTTTAATTTCAGCAAGGTATGCGGAGGCGCTCCTCTTCGAATCGGAGCCGAGTGGCTAGTTCGCAACTGCAGTGAGAAGGTCGCCGCACATCAAGCAGATGCATTGGAGAGAAAAATGAAGCAAAATCGTTACTACAGCTCGTGTCCTCATACCGACAACTCGGGACACCTCTGGCAGTTGGAGAGTGAAAAGCAGATGTACGGGCATGAAACAGCGATTCCATTCGTGGTTGTGAACATCGGAGCGAACAAAGGATACGTTGCATCAGAATGGCTCGAGCTTTTCCACCCTGAGTTGGGCATTTCTCCTGCAAGCCTGAAGAAACACTTCGACAACCTGGCAGCTAAGGGTCTATTGGGTCGCGCACACCATCTTTGTGGAGCGTGTGATGATTGCAAAACAGGACCGCGACTTCAGAGATTAGAAAGAACAAAACGTCCATTATTGATGCATGCAATTGAGCCCAATCCAGTGAATGTCAGGATGCTGCGAGAAATGTACAACATGGCGATAGGCTCTGAGGTGTCCAAGTACTTAATCATACGCGAGATGGCCATGTCGAATCAGTCGCAAATTGCCAAGTTCCGAAAAACAGATTTTGGGGATGAAACAGGTTCTCTCCAAATAGGCAATCACGGCAATACTATAGACGTAAAAGTGGGGACTCTCGATGCATATGTCAGATTGGAAGGAATCTCTCACATCGATTACCTGAAGATCGATACTGAAGGTTATGATGCGCTCGTACTTGAGGGCGCCGAACGTCTCTTGCAGGAAGGACAAATTGATGCCATCGAGTTTGAATATCACAGCATTGCCTATTGGAGTCGAGGAGGCCCGGAGAGACGCTTTCTCCGCGATGTTGTCCAAAAACTGGACAAATACGGCTTCGCCTGTTACATCTTGGGGCGTGATGGAGCAACCGTACAACTCACAAAGTGCTGGAACGAGAAACTCGAAATTGAATTCTGGTCCAACATTGGATGTGTTCGAAAAAACAGTCCACTACTTCCCTTCCTGGCTGCTGTCTCCCTTTCATGGAAGTAAACAGGTTATTGACATGAAATGTAGCGCTGTGATGTTTGTAAGTGGCTTGTCTTTCTTAGTGCGCGCCCCTGGCACCAATGTTGACATATACTGACCAAGAATCGATCCGCGCCAAGGTTCCGCTCCCGGGTACATTCCTTTTCCGTTTGATCTCCCCTGGAAGTGGCTCTGTCACTTTAAGCTTTCTCCAGTCCGACTCTTTCTTTCAAACTCTCGCGAGGAGATTCACTTATCTGATGCACCGCTTTGCATTCCAATTGTGTGTCGACAATCTGTGCCGCATTTTCTACATCCATGCATTTTCTACAATGAAAAGCCGCTGGCCATAGCAATCTTCTCGAGCCGCATGCAACTTTGAGAGGCTCGATCGCTCGATCGAAGAGTCGTGTCTCGGCCGCTCCACTTAACAGGCGCGGCTGCGCGAATGCGGGATTTTAAATGAGAAGGACCGATTCTTTCCCTTACACATTGGAGAAAAAGAGGAACTTTCTTGGAGTGCCCGGGTAACGTTCTTTCGCGTTACTTCAAAACCGCGTCTACCATGCTCCTCTTCCTCGTCCTTTCACGCTCTCGGTCGGCCTTGTTACCTCCTTTATGTAACCAGTTCACCTTCAATGCCCGTTATGCCAGTGGGCGACGCCGTTGGATACAAGTCCCTACATTCTGTGCCCAAGGGGGAGACACTGTCCTTAGTGGCCTCAGCTGACATTTAAGCGCCGGGGGAAATGAAAGAGAAAGTCTGCGAGTATCATAGAGACCACCTGATGGCGACCCACCCGGCTGGAAAGTCTGCGTTGAAGGACATCAGGCTTTCCGATTCATCACGCTCAAGATTGGTCAAACCGGCAAGGCCGAGAGACTTCGGAGTCACCACTTGTTGCAGGAGGCCTGAAGTGAGGCCATGGAATCAATCAAGACTGTTTCGCAATGAGTGATTCTTAGCTGGAAAAGGGAGGGAGGTCTCTCACGCCCGTCTCTCCCTCCCGAGCGTCTGTATTGAGATTGATGGACAAAGTGTAGGCTCCGTCTTCTCACGGTTCTGAAAGGGAAATCCAGAGCGATGAATCCTTTTCTCAAATGGAAGAACGAAGCGCTGAGTGCTTCGGCTGGGGAGCGGATCCCTTACTGTATGAGAAGATTCCCTGGCTGAGGCGCCGTTGTGACTCGTTGCCTCTTTCGACTCGTCGTGACATCAGGTCGGCTTGACTCGTGTGCTTGTCGTCATTCATTCTTAATTGTGTCTCTTATCGATTGGTGAATCAGCATCGAGTAAGCGTTATTTCATAGCGTCATCTGCGCCACGGACAAAACCCCGGGTACACACCTTACACACTCTACGAGTTGCATTATCACCCCGCCTCAGCCCTCAAGACGGCATGATTGACGCAGCTTTGACCATAGAGGATCATGCAAAGACACTTGGCACCCAGATTACCTATGCCGAAATGAGATTGGTGATTCATACCAAAAATCAAAGAGAATGTCGAACGCACCTACTCGATGCTCTGCGGGCAAGCTGAGGCGTGGCCGAATATCCTCCTACGACGAGGCGGCTATAAAGATATTCCCTTCTGCTCTATTATGGAAATATGAATTCCGATCTGAAACTGAAAGTACCGGAATGGAAGGGAAGGACCTGGAAGATCCTCGGCTGTTCGAGTGAGAACAGCGTTTTTTCCTTAGGGACCCAATGTCTTGATTTGTCTAACATCTGCAGCACCGTTATCCTGAGATCTAATATGCCGGGACACAGATGTCCCCATGGGGAGACATGCATGGCACCTCTGCCCCTTGGCCGCTGTAGTGTCAGGATGATCGAGAGGCACGAGGACATTTAAACACTCACCTGTTTGTGTCACTCATTGATTGGCGATGATCTCGATGGAGACGAAGAGAGCGATGAGGAAGACGAGGATGACGAGCACCAACGCGACGATGATGACATGGTCGATCACGATGATCAAGGGGACGTTTTCGACCTCCCGAGGTTGAAGAGCTAGATGGACAGTGTCACCGAAGAGGCCGATGCGTGTATAGCATGCAATCTCGGTGACGAGTGGGACGAGGCGCACACGTGCACTGGTCATTGTCAATTCAAAGGAGGACTACCCTCGATGGACGTCGACATGAAGGGTGAGGACCGAAATTTTAAGCGCATCTCTCTCATTTCCTTGCAGACGCTGTTAACGATGAAGATATGCGGTTAGGAAGTCTGATCTGCCAAGAATGCATTTTTGGTCATGATGAGCAAACAGAAGACGATGCCCAATGAGTGTCCACTTGTTCAAGCCGCCACTGCCATGGGTGGTCCCTCACCGACTGGCAGGCTTATTCGGCGGGACACAAGCCGTGCAAAGACAGAGAAGCGTCTTTGCCAATGTCTCTCTCGTTCTCTGTCTACCCTGTCGCGCGACTGCGGTGACACGAAGCGAAGCAAGTCAAAAAAGCCGCCAAGTGCCATAAGTGACTAATGGTGACAAGTCTTCAATCATCAGCGAGCTGCGGCAATTGCTCAGCGAGCGCGATGTACATGGAGACATGAAGAGCTAATATCAGGAGCTTGTATTACCCAGATGTTGCTGCTGGGTTGGTTTGTCAGCCACCTTCGAAGAGAAGTGCACACGATCGTGTTACTTTTTTGCGTCACTGGTGAAACAGAGAAAGAAAGTGAGGTGGCTGGCTAGATCTGATGGTGTCGCATGTCTTACGCTTGTTTGCAGTATGAGGCATGTATTCGTTCGTAGTCGATGAGGGTTGTCTTTGCATGTTTTGTTGCCCTTTGCTTGCCCGATACGAACTGAACTGAACTTCGTCGCCCGTTCAGCATCTACTTTACTGTCAATCGCATAAACCAGTCGCCTCACAAAGAGACTCAAGTCAGCCATCCGCGCCGACCATTCAAGAAAGTGACCGGAAGACAATGAAGAACACCTCTGTGAATGCATTCAACTCGGCTTTTTCTGCTTGTCTGCGGCGCAATGCATACATGACATTCACGCACCATGCAAGTATCCAACATGCATACACAGTCGCGCAGTATTCACGTATATTGATGTCCAAAGACACTTGCCCTCCCTCTATGCGCGCCGGGCCGCGCGCATCATTGATGTCAAGTTGAGGAAGGGACCTCGTCTATCACCCATCGACACCAAAAATACTTGCGTATCCGGCGGATGTGTCGATCGATGCATACGAGAACAAAGAAACTCAGGCGCGTTGACAGCGCAACGGTCAGAAGCGTGTGGCGTACTCTGACTGACTGGCTGGCGGACGGCTGGCCTGTCCCATTCTGCCTCTGTCTATCCATCCGTCCGTCCGTCCGTCTGTCTGTCTGTCGTCCTCTTCGCTGGCCGAATAAGTAGGGATGTGTATATGCGCATGTATGTATTGCATGTATGTGTTCGCGTACGTACCTGGTCCTCATTCATCTGTCTGTTCGGCTGCCATTCTTAAACCTCAGAAGCAGAAAGACAACAAGGCAAAATTTGACATGCGACGGATGGCACAAGGCCCATCATATACACCGGACGGACAGGCACATGTGCTGCAGCGCACCGCAATCTCCAGCTGCCTGCCTGCCTGTCACAAGCCGCTTCAATTGCCTGACGTCAAAGGTGCCCATTTTGCCGGTTATCTGCATCCCTCAGCCCCTCGGCCGCAGCAGCCGCAGCTGCCGCATCGGTGGGGTGATGGGCGGCACTGGGTGAGACGAAGGGCGATGGGAAGGGCGACGGCGGGACGAGTGGCTGGTCGATGGCGTCGTGGTCGTCCTTGACCACCACGTCAGTCTCTTCCTCCTCGTCGTACTCGTGCTCCTCCTGGTACTGCTCCTGCTCGTTGTTGTCTCCCGTCTGATCGATCTGCTCCTCCTGCTCGTCGGGTGCCTCTTCCCCGGCAGCGCCTTCACCGATGTCCTGGTCCTCCTCATCCGCCTCACCACCGTCGTCACCAGCCCCCATACCCATGACCATCCCCCCAGCCATGGCCCCGCCCTCGTCGTACTCACCTCCTCCACCTTCCTCATGCAACTGAGCCATCTCGTCCTCCGCGCCGTTCTGCTCAGCACCTGCTAGTGTTGCACCCGTCCCGTAGTAGGCTTCCAACCCGTTGGCCTGTGGGAAGTCATCACCTAGCGGCTCGCTTCTCGGGGGCTCCGCTGATGGTGGCCGTTGCTGCTCCATGGCGTCCCTCTCACGCTTCAGGTGCTCCTGCTTAGCGATGTAGGCCTCACACGCCGCCGCAGACCTGCGACGGGGACGCTTGGACCTGACAAAAACGGGAGACGGGAATCCAACCACCACACATGGCTGCATTGCGTCTGGTGTGGTGGATCCTCATTCACTTATACGGTTGCTTACGCGGGTGGTTGTGCCTCTGGTTGCATGTCGCCGAACGGCATGGATGGGAGTCGTCCATCGGGCCCCCCCAGCACCTCCCGCAGCTGCTCCAGGGCCCACTCGCCCGTGAGTGCCTTCTCGTCGGGCGGCGGGGGGTAGGTCTCCCTCGGGGACATCTCCTCGGCACGGGGACGCTTCGGCACACGAGCAGGGTACTGGAACGGCGTGTCACTGACGAAAGAACAAACGATTGAGTGAACAGCAGTGATTGGCTGGCAAGTAGGTGTCTGGGCAGGGACTTACGTGGGTCTTGAGCATGAGATGACGAGTTGCTGGTGCTGTTTGAGAGCCTGCTCTGCCTTGTCCGGCTCGACCTCATGGGAGTAGCCACGTCGAGTGGGGGTGTACATAAGGGCCTTGACGTGAGCCGCCACGCTCTGTGCCAGAGGGGACAACGCGTTACCACGGGTGTTGTACCCACCCTCCAGTACCGACACTGATGGATCGATACAGATACACAAATACATCATTCATCGGCCAGTGTGGGTCTTGTGTTTGTGCTGGTCATTCGTTGCGGCCTACCAACTCTGGCGTTTCCATGCTCATTTGCGATGGTCATGAGCTTCTGAGTGGCCCACTCATAGTCCCACTCAGATAGGATGGACCGCCCGCCGCCGCCCAGGTCATCGCTCTTGTGACCATCAAACCCCGCCGAGATGAAGATCATGTCTACACCCCACACAGAGGGGTAAAAGAGGAAGAATGAGGGACATACTTTCATCGCTGTCTGTCTGTCTTTCTTTCTTTCTTTCTTTCTTTCTTACGTGGTTTGAATTCCCTGAGTGGCTGCAGCACTTTGGTCTCAAAGTGGAGCCTGAAGCCATACACCTTCTCCCTAAAGGCATGCTTGGTCCGCTCCTCCAGCCAGCGCCGCGCCATCGCCCCTTCGCCACCATTCTCGTCCTCCCCTTCATCAGCATCGCCCCCTGCCCCCTCATGCTGCTGTGGTGCATCCATCTCCTCGAGGCCGGCCAGCCTGCGCGTCTCGGGCCGCCTCTGCTGCTCGTTGATGTTGGTGCAGTGCATGAGGGGGCGGAGGGGTACATTGATGACGGTAGGGGAGGGGCCAAAGGGGGGCGAGTCGACGCTCTCGCTGCCGCCCTGCGCGTCGGGGAGGTCGTGGGTGGGGCCGCCAGTCCCGGGGTAGAAACTCATCAACGGATCGTACACTGGAAAGAGAGCAAAATGCAGTGGAGAAAGACCAGATGGTCATGTTGGGCTTGCTTGTGTGGTGTGGTAACCATGTATGGATGCGAAGAATATGTTGTATGGATCCGTCTCGTCGAGCCACACCTGGAAGGCGTCCTCCGTCAACATCAGGCCCTGCGCCCGCACGAATCGGCCTGAACGAACTGGGAACGACACCTGTGCACAGCCATCACAACAACGGAAAGACAGAGACAGAGAGAGTGGGGGCCAGTCATTCGTATTGGTGAACGAGCGATGAGTTGAGGTCACCTTGTGCTGCCTAACGCGTCTTCGGACGTTTCGCACGATGACCTCAGTGCCGTTGCCATGGTGGACGTCGAAATCCACAATAGCGATCCGCTCCACACCTACACGTACACTCATTCACATACATACAGGTGATCGGAAAGCAACATCAGATGACGCACCTCGCCTCCAGTGGAATGCGCGAGCATATGCGGCCCCGATAGCCACATTATTGAGCAAACAGAAGCCCTGGCTTCCCACACTGCAGACACTCATGCAGGCACAAACACTCATCCCTCTGCCCATTGTCTATGAGTGTATGTGGTCGGTATGCATATGTACGTGAGGTCTTCGTCTTGGGTGTCCTCCACATTGGCCCCAGCTGGACCCAAATGGTGACCGGGTGGACGGACTGCACACACCAAGGAGAAACAAAGATGCACGAATACGTGCATGGATCACATGTCTGTTTGCAGGTACTTGCGCAGAAGGCATTTCTGATGTTGGTTTTTGGGTCCATGATCTGGTCCACCTGTATTTTAAGGCAGATGGCTCAGCTAAGCTGTGGCCTTTTGAGAGAAGTTTCTAGTAGCGTTCTGCAACAACTTACCGCCTCAATGACCGCACCCGCAGCACACATGGCCGCATTGAGCGAGTGGGAGCTTAGCGGAGTGTCGCCGTCGAAATCTACATGAACCATGTATCACACAGGGAAAACGTGTATGTTGCCAAGGCTGTTGGTGTGCAGTCTGGTATCTCACCTGCCCGAGCGCGCGGGTTGTCACGAATCTGCTGGGTGCTGACGCATCAAGAAAGAGAATACATAGGTGCATATGTCCACAGCTGGTTCATTTCATGCCTTCTCGCTGTTGTTTGCTTACGCCTTTTTGAGGCTGTCGACGTATTTGAGTTCGTGGACGCGCAGGATGTCTGCCAGACGGACGGGGGGCGGGTCACCGATGAACACGGTGCTCTGGAAGTCGGCCGTACGCAACACACCGAGCTGCTCCTTCACCAACACCTGAAGGCATTCATCGAGCAAATGCAATACGCATTCATTTGCCATTGATTCTCTGCCTGTCTGTCCGTCCGTCCGTCCGTCTATGTTGTGTATGCTGACCTCCATCCGCGTGGCATTTTCTGGCGTGTCATGGATTCGCTGAAACCGCGTATTGGGGTCGTCTGAGGGCTCGGGCAGCTGCAGATGCTTGCTGCACACGCATGCACATACCCAGATCGACAGTCGATACAGCCGCACCATGCACGTGTGCAATGTTTCCGGGGAGCTTACGGGCACTCGGGGTGTGTGATGATTGCAGTGCGGAGTTTGGTGGGCATGCCCGACTCTGAGTTGCCCTCTCCCAGGAGCAGAGGGCCGTCCTGCCGCAATTGGCACACCTGGGACTCGATCGACACACCTGCGGGACAGCAGACAGACAGACAGACCGTTGTAGGCTCCTTTCCCAGCTGACTGACCAGGTTCAGCTGCCCGCTCTTGCAGGACGTCAATGACGTAGTCGAACTCATCTCGGTGACCACAGTGCAGAGCCGCCTCGCGAAACTCATCCATGACTTGCTGAACGCATACATACATGGCAATGAGGGGGCGCCAGATCAAATTACCCGCATGCACATGGTTCCTGCGTCATGTGCTTCTCACATCCTCCATCTCCTGCTCGCGCGGGGCGAAGAGCATCAACAAGGCCATCAGACAACGCCACGCACCCCTGTGGACCACAAACGGGATAGCCAAGCAGTGAGTGAGTGAGTGAGTCAGTCAGTAAGCATCCATGGTACATTCACGTGCCCATGTGCCTCATGAATGCATCGTATCGTCTTTATCTCACCTTTCGATGGCTCTAAGTATGTGGGCCTTGGTGACTTGGATGCCTCCCCCCGTCACAAGCGCCTTGACGCACATCCATGCACCGGGTGTCCGCGAGTCGATGGCGTAGTCGAGCGCCAGGTTGCCGTGGTGGTCCTGACACACACGGCAACATGGATGCAGCAAACGGGTTCGATGCATGTCTTTCATGTGCGCATACCGGTATCGTGGGGTCTACGTGTTCGATGAGGAACTGAACGATGTCTGCGGCGCCCATCTGGGCAGCGCGGTGCAGGACGGTGCATCCCAGAAAGTCACGGGCGTGACACGAGGGGCTGGGGTGGTCGAAACTAACCAACAACTTGAGGCACTCCAACACATCGCCGCGGTACTCCTCGAAACCTGACGGGTACATACACATACACGTGCACCCAGCCCATCCATGTCAAATACCCGCGTCTTGTCATTCACTGCCTCCCCGCCTCCCTCCCTCCCTCCCTCCCCTAACGACGCACCAGCCATTGCCAGAGGCAGTGTGATGGTGGGGATGTTGTTGTAGCCCCCCTCCAGACTCAGAATGTCCTCGTCCAGCCCCGCTGGGGCGTCGCTGTCGCCCTCACCGCCGCTGCCACCGGCCTGGGCCGCACGGACGACGTCTACTGCTGTGCGCATGAGGGCCCGTAGGAACTTGGGCTTGGCGTGTAACAAACACAGCTTGGCCGGCGGCAGCTCAGCGCGGTTCCCACCGCCACCCGCAATGCCCATACCTGCAAACAAACAGACCATGCAGAGAAGAAGACCCGTGTTCATGTGAGCCGTGTGGGGTGTTTTTTCTGCTTGCATTACCGTTCTGGTAGTAGGGCAGAGCGAGCGCCCTCTCGAAGTCCTCGAGTGCGTCGGAGTAGATCATGTCGTCGAGCTCCCGTCCGTGGAATGCGTCGAAGTTGTCTCGCGTGAGGAACTGGCGCACGATGTCGTCCTCAGTGAGGCCACTGGCGGTGTCGCCGAAGAGTCTGCGGCCGGGTGGGGGAGGGAAGAGGCCGGGGAAGGGCTGGTGGGGAGGCATCGCAGCTTGGTCCATGGGAGAAATCTCCTCCTCCTCTTCCTCGATGCTCTCATCCTCATCCAGCTCCTCTTCCTCGTTGTCCTCGTGGGTGTCTGGCGGCTGGCCCTCATAGCCCTCCCTCTCGCCACCAACATCCTCAGGCTGAGGCGGAAGCTGGTGCTCCTCCTCGCCCACATCCTCCACCTGCTCATCCTGGACAGCCTCGTCCACGACCCCGCCGCTCGGGTGATCCACTGGCGCAGCCGCCTCGTACTCATCTTGATACAGCAGACCGCCCGGCGCTCCGCGAGCGTCGCCAGCCATAGTATCGCTCTGATCCGGCAGCTGGCTGCTGTATGCCTCTCCCAGGTGCTCGTCTGGCTCCTCGCCTTCCGCAGCTGCAGGCTCCTCGTCCTGGTCTTGCAGCTCAATGTCCGCGTCATGGATTGGCTGCTCGGTGTCAATCTGCTCGTGGCCGCCGCCCTCGACATCCATCAGATTCTCCTCACCGGTGCCCACATCCGCATCCATGTCCTGCTGGGGGGGAACGTCAGCATCAGCCGACTCGTCCATCGTGCTGGTGTGTAAGAGGACAAGAATCCCAGAATGGTGCCGAGCAACAGCGAATGGAAAGGATGGTTTCATGTCATCTTCGGTGTCGTCAGACGGGGAGAAATTCCCATATAGTCTAGTGGTCAGGATATGCGGCTTTCACCCGCAAGACCCGAGTTCAATCCTCGGTATGGGAGCTTTCCAAACGCCTTTCCCTCGCCTCCATGCTTGTGGACGAATGGTAGATGAGCAGACTTGTTATGGCAAAAACCGACCAGGAACCGAAGGCGTCCCGTTTGAGACTGGTCAAAATTACTGCGAAGGGCTGAGGTCAAAATACGCACCGCGAAGGGCTGGTCTGAGCTGCTTCTTACTGCCTTTCTTATCCTTTACTGCCTTTCTTATCCTTACCAGCGGCTTTGTCCACGAATCCCGCTCTCCTTGCCCAGTACAGGCGTCTGCGGACATGATTCAAGCAGCCTAGCGCAGGCCCGAGTCGCCGGGCTCGAGCTCAGACGTTCGAATTGAGCCCAATTGAGCCACTGTCTCATCAGGCATAGACACAGTGGTCGATTCCATTTCAAATCCAGTGCAGTTTTTAGTGCTGCCCGGTATTTTTACACTGGAAGGGCTGAGCCGCTGAGGTAAAAATACCCACCGCGAAGGGCTGAGTGTGTGCACGGGATTAACGGCAAGCGCGTCAGCACGAGGAGTCCATCAAGAATGCAAACGAAGGGCTGAGTGACTTCTACATTATTACTCATTCATTCATTCATTCGGCGTCCTCATGAACACACAGGGCATTCATTCGGACGAGACTAGCAGCACTGCAGGACACCCTGCAATGACCAGGGCGGCGAGTCCGGCTCATCAAGGTTTCCCTTGGCTACTCCTGGCTTTCACATGCCCCGTATTTTACAAGCGAGGGGGGAAAAGTCGCCGGCGCCCTACTTGATACCCGCCGGGCTGCGAGCGGTGTGGCGTGTCAGGTTGGTGTCTATGGGGGTCCGTGTCGTGTCGTGTCATGTCGTTTCCCCCGTGGAGCCACCCTCTACTCGATTCCATTACATTATCGAGTATCATTGCTGCCATACTTATTACTGCCTGACTTATCCTTACCGCCTTTGTCCAGGCGGCGAATCCCTCTCTCCTTGCCCGGTACAGGCGTCTGACATGATTCAAGCAGCCTAGCGCAGGCCCGAGTCGCCAGGCTCGAGCTCAGACAATTCAGCCTTTTCGACTAGAGGAAGTGAGGCATAGACACAGTAATCGATTCCATTTCAAATCACAAACATGAGGCACATCATGGAAACACGACACATTCCACCGCAGCGCATATGTCATGGTCGTAGTGTGTGTGTCAATGAATTGAGGTTGGTGCAGAGTATGTCTGTAACGACATCTCGTCCCGTGAACATGGTGCGGAGGTCCGTACGCGAGACCTTGGAAGGTCGGCACGAGTAATTTATCCCCTGCCAAAAGGCGAGCACGGCCTCTGGCGTGTCACCCGCATCGCCCGCATCCGTGAGGAGGCTCCTGCCATTCGCGATGCTACATGTTCAATGAATTTGACTTTCGTATGTGAAGTGATACCTGGATACTTCATGGAACACATACTTGACGCGCTTTAGGACCTCACGGGCGCCTGATTGACATGTGACAAGAGAAAATGCAACCCGCCATTGATGGATGTATCTGGCTTAGTCGTGCCTCGAAGGGCTTTGAGTTCGGCTCCCTCGACATCCAGTTTGATCATCCATGGCGACACATCAGCCAGCATGTCGTCGAGCAGCACCGTCTGCACCTGCAATCAACCAGAGACACAATACCACGCAGACATGTCTGTATTGCTTTCGCACATCGATACATCGTGTCGCCGTATGAGGCCTCTCCTCTTAATCACATCAGAGGAATTGCCGCACAAAGTCTGACCTGCACAAGACCCCTCACACACTCAGGCCAGCGCATAGGATGGCCGATCTGAATATATGTGTGTGTGTGAAAACTGACCATCCAGGGTGTTTATAGCATCTGTACGAGGGAAGAAGGGATCCAGATATCATAGACCAGCCAACAGACAAGGCACAGTGAATCTTGGTGCCACTTACGTGAAGCGACGAGGCACCTGAACAGTAACCGACACCCGCCACACATGACGCACGTCCCTGTACTGACTGTTCTGGGACGTCTATCTTTGTCTCCGGCTGCAAATGGGTATATTTGTATATTTGGGATGGCGGAGCCCTCAAAGCTGTTGGCGGGCAGGTGTGCGGACCTGGTGGTCGCGTATACGTTGCGAAGCATTGCCTCGAAACCTACACCAGACATACAGACACACATCCACACGCAGCGATGCAAGAGATTAATGATGACAGCAGTTGTGCGTGTGTCCATTCTCGTGTCTGTCTCTTTATACCGATGACTTTATACCCCAGTGCTGCGATATTGAGAGCGTACCATCCCTCCTCCACGCCCACATCCACAAACACACAACGAGCGTCACCGGGGGACCCGCACTCCTGATCACACAACAGACACACTCCACAATTTGCCTCCCGCGCCCCCTCCTGCCCCTTTGCACCCTCATTTTTTCCGCGCTGGCCAAAATTTGTTCCTTCTCCCACGCTCCTCTCCTAAGAACGTCGCTCACTATGTTTCTGGTCTGCGGCACGCACATCGAAAACAGGCGCTCCGGGCTACCGGCAGCCGTCGGGGCCCGAAAGGTCCTCTCGCCGCAATTCGCCACTGCCTGGACCTCCCTGTCATAGTCGTTGATGCTCTGCACCAGATACGCCACCAACGCGGCCGAGACAGACAGCTCAGCCTCGATTGATGTACCCTGCGCGTGTTGCTGCTCATTGACAAGCATTCCCGCGGTCACCGGACTAACTGGAGTCTCTTGTGCCGGGTGACCGTACAGTAAATGCCGTTGGCGGAGGAGGGAAAAGGGAGCGGGCACTGCAGCCAACAGGACGACCAGTGAGACAATGAGGCATCCTCCAATTGAGGCGTAGACCAGTGTGTGCATTGGGGCACGGACTCCCACTACCACCATCCGTTCCGGTATCCCTTCCCTTTTTTGTGACTTCCGTTCAATTCCGAGTAAGGGGCACCCACTGCGACCCCGGGCCACGAATTGGGCGGGGGTCGAAAAAAGCGTGCGAAGTGGTGGTTCAATTATGCGTCACAGAGACGTGCACAGTAGGAGTGTTGGCGAGAAGCACACCAACGCATGCAACAATGGCGAGAGTTTCAAAAACATGCAGACAACAAAGGCTGGAGCTTGAAAAACATGCAGATCTTGAGGACAGACGTGGCGATAGCATGCAGGTACTCAGAGGGCTGCATCAAGAACGGGGGGAAACTGTCATTAACCATAACACTCGTCTGTGTGTCCGTGATACTCATACAAATACAGTCCCATCAGCACGCAGAGTCAAACAGGCTCAAGGGGAGGAGGGATCAATCCCCGCCCCATCAGCACACCCCAGTCCCGCAAACCCTCCCCTCCCTCCCCCACGCAGACAGAAGCTAGTCGCACGCGCGAGGGCGATAGACAAGCGAGAGCGAATCCATCCAGACACATGACTGAACCCCCGACCCTTCCACCCCTCCTTCTCCAACAGCGCATGAGCCATGTGGGCGATGAACACGTTGGCATCGTGTCCCCACACACCGTCACCGTGGCATCACCGCTGCATCAAGAACACAAGACACCCCCCATGTTGCCGCTCATGCTGCGCCCGTGTTGAAGACGTGCTTCGCCAAGCATATCAATGCATCGCTGGATGCAAATGGATGTGAACCTATCGATATCCAGCGATGATATCAATAGACATGTATCAATTTAGCGCGCCTTTTGAAGGGGCGATTGAAGACTGCCTTCGATGACTGTCAATCGGCTTGTCAATCAAATGGGAGCCGCCAGGATCAGCCCAACGATGACCTGCACCAGCAACGCATCAAGGTAGATGAAATCGGCCACAGCCGCGCCACGTCAGATGAAGCAAGCCTCCTGAGTAGCTTCTCTTCGAGTCGAATGTCTTCCAGCCTCACTCGACTGCTGGCGCAGCCGGGGTCCGCATTCAAGCCGCCTGAGACGGTCGACGACAGGACGTTCTCTGTTCACTGGGCGAGCCGTTACAAATTGAACGAAGAGCAGATGCGGGCGTTCCAAATCATCTGCAGCCACTTGCTGAACCACTACAGAGACCTGAGGGACAATAAATACATCGCGCCATTGCGCATGTGCCTGACCGGCGAGGGCGGCACCGGCAACACCGTCATGAAAGCCGTGAAGGCTTACTTTGCGGAACTGCAATGCAGACATTGGCTGTGTCTGGCGGCACTTACCGGTGTGGCTGCAGATAACACCGAAAGCTCGACAGTCAATTCGCTCCTGCACCTCTTCGATGACTTCGAGAGCGGCGAGAAGAGGCTGCGGCGCCAAGCGGGGAAGCAGGAGGCAGTCGATGGTGACCGCATTTGAAGAGAGGAGTCTTGCCAGCATATCCACTACACGATAGTCGGCGAGATCTCTTTCGTTAACCGCCAGAAGCTCGACAAAGTCGATGCGGCACTGAGGGACCTGCGAGAAGGCACCCAAGAAGGACCAAGCTCAACCAGCTGCATTATCGGACAAAGGAGAAACATCCCATCCACCACAAACTGGCGCGTTTCGTGTGTTCGGTCAGTTGATGCACCTTATAAGAAATTCGCGCCCACAGATGCGCTTGTTCGCCAACTTTCTCCAAGCGCGAGCTTTTTCAAGCTCTGCTGCTTTAGGGTACATCAGTTTATCGTTCACTGATGAAAGCGTGACAAGAAAACACGAAGCTTCTCGACATATTGAAGTGTCTGTACTACTGCAAGCAACACATCACCGCTACCGTTTTTCCATTTCATTTCCATGCGATCGTGATCGAACGTTTTGTCTGACCGCACGCGTTGTTTCATAAAGACGCAAATTGGGCACTAGCTCAATTCGCGGATCAGGATCGTCAGTCGGTAGTCGCCTTGGTTATCCCCAATTTCTTCCGGTAGAAATTCGCCGCCCGTGGGCCCGAATGTCGCGTGTTTCGGTCCCCGCATCCCCACCCACTCACTGGGTGGGCAGCCGAAGATGGGCCATGTGCATTGGGAGTGGTACGGGGAGAGGAAGTAAATCAGACCACGGCTGCACGCCGTCACGTGTCATCTATGTCAGTGCTGCTTCTCTTCCTGCTCGCAAACATCGGGGTATTTCTGCCGAGATGGCAGTGGCAAGGGGACTTATCGCAACTCAAGAAGAGCCTTAGCGCTATCAGGTGGGCAGCTCACATTTGGGAGCCCCTTCTTCATCTACCCGAAAATGTGAGCCAGGTGCAACGGTAATTGCAGCCGTTTGATGCGAGTGGAACCCAGTAATCAGGACATGAATAACGTAAGGTATGGTGTGCCTCTCTCGTTCACTTGTTTCTCTCTCGTTCACTTGTTCCGTCTGCCGACAGCAGCAGCAGCATGTGGGAGACGGAACAAGTGGGAGAGAAAAAGCCACAAGTGAAAGAGAACAAGCCACCATCAATCCGGAGGAGACCAATGCGCTGCGTGCCGCCTTCTCGTCAATCTACAGCTCGGCCGTATGGGGGAGAAACAAGGATGGGAGGGGGCACAGTGGCGGGGGCAGCACCAAGGAGTCAACAGACAACTTTCGCCTCTTGCTGGAGGACTTTCTGCGACAGCGAAACATCAGATCCATCGTTGATGCAGGATGTGGGGACTGGTCGGACAGAGACAGACAGACAGAGCCCCGCCCGCCATGCACGTCTATGTGCATTGCATTGCAGGGAGTGGACACAATTCGTCGATTGGCGTCCGGTAGAGGAATACATAGGTGTGGATGTGGTGCCGTCCGTCATTGCGCGCAATCAGGAGCTGTACGGCAGCCACAACAGGACTTTCCATGCTAGGAGCATCTTGGAAAAGGACAATCTGCCTCCTGCAGACGTAAAGGACCGACAAAAGAAGACCACTTCCGCACATAAGCTCTCTTTCCGGCTTCTTTCTGTTGCAGCTGTTGATGTGTAAGGATGTGTTGCAGCACCTGCCCACGCCGATGGTGCACAAATTCATTGCGAGCCACCTCACTGCTCACGACGGCCGATACAAGTACAAGTATGCCCTCCTGACTAACGATAGATGCAAGGTGAGAAGGTTGCATATCCGCTGCGTGGACAATCGGGACCTGGGCAAGCCAGGTGGCTATCGCCAGGTGAATCTGGCTCTTCCGCCCTTCTCTCTGCCAGCGCTTGACTTCTATCGGTGGCCTGGGGGGGGACACAGTGAGAAGTTTGCAATGCTGATGGACTTCAGTAGGGAATAGATGGCTGCCGTGTGGAGCCATACGCGCCCCAAAAGTCAGGAAAAGAATTCGAGACGTTCAATCAGCGGATATTGCCGCCGATTCGAGGACGCGAATGTTGTTGGCAGACCAGGAGGGGAGAGAAGGGAAGGATCGGTAGGGTTGAGGGGTTTCGTTTGGGCTGTAGAGCCAGTTCCGTTAGCGTTTGTAAATCAAGCTAAGCTAGCATAATTAGCACCGGATGGTGTTGGTTAAGGGTAAGATTGTCCATGTGTCCATGCGCTTGGGACAGTCGATTATCTATCCACATCTAAACTATTGACAGCAACAGGCAAAGCATTCGCTACCTACCCATGTACACCCACCACCCACCCCCTGCAATCAACAAGGGTGGAAAGGCCTCCGCTCTAGCAGCAGCCCCTCAGCAAACCTCCCTCCCTGCCCTTCAACGACTACAATTTACCGGGTAAGAAGAAAAGATAAATAGGGTCGGTGCATCTCTGTGGATGTCTGTAAAGGAGGATCATCCTGACGAGGAGATCGATGCCACCATTACTGCCGAAGACCGCATCCACAAGGCACCGGAGGCCCGCGATTCAAGCCACTTCACAAGGGAGCCGAGCACCGTCGGAAACGGCAGCATCTGGCAAGGCCATATTGATGGACTTGATGAGGACCAACAGGAGAGGGAACGATATCCCCAATGTGGAGATGAGAAATGCACTTTCAATTTGCTCAACAAGTGCCTTAACGAGTCTTTCGAGGAACGTCAAGTTCGACACGCGGTCATAGCTGATGGGACCCGCGTGTCTCGACATATTGACGTGTCTGTAGTAGTGCAAGCAACACAACACCGCTACCGATTTTTCTTTTCTCTTCCATACGATCGTGATCGAACGTTTTGTCTGCCGAACGTGTTGTTTCTTAAAGACGCAAATGGGCACTAGCCAATTAGCTTCCGTTAAACGCATGGGATAGCTGGACTGCGTTGAGGACCATCACGGTGTCGGGCAACGCTGCTGTCGCATGAAACACACCAAGAGACTATCAAGGCCGTATAGAGTCTCATGCATTCGTTGGACGCACACAGGAGTAAGGGGAGGACATGCCAGTCGTATTTCACATTCCGTGAGCTTCTGGTTGTCAGTGAACTGGTTGCACGTGATTCGCGTCACGAATGTGCCCAACGACGTGACTGCTACGCAGCTACTCAGCACGGTGAGGTAGCACACGTATCCACACGCGGCTTGTCTGCAGACCGTGGTTGTGGTTTCTCAGCTCTCCCAGGGCTTTGCCAAGATCTTCGACGACCAGACCGTCACGGTGCTGCATGTGGAGCGTGACGTGCCCCGCAACAAGCGGCGCGGCAAGAACGACCCCAAGAGCCAGAATTTCCTGGTCGAGGTGGGTGGCCTCGAACAGGCGCTGCCTGCCGTGGCCATACTGGACGACTCGCGACTGCTGCTGCCGTTGCATGGCGGTCATGGCACTGAGACGGGAAGGCAGCGCGGCGAGCGGAAGAGGGGACGGGGCAAGGGGGACGGCACCACAATGGAAGTGGTCATGCGGGCACATTTGTGAGATAACAAGATGAAAAGAGGCACATGCCCCGTGTATCAGGGTTTTTGTGTCTTGCTATCGTTGTGCTTTCCAGGCTGGCTGATTTCGTGGGACAAAAATCCGCCAAGGCCGGTGTGGAACGCCATAAGCTCAGACGCGGCAGCGAACACTTTTATGCATCCCTCCGTGTCGGTTTTCTTGATGTGTTCAGGTCGCATAATGCTTCGCAATGTGCCCTTCGCTGTGACCGAGAGCGACCTGCGGACGGCACTCGACACGCACGGCACGATCAGCGAGGTAGGCGATCACTTTCCCGCACGCTGTCGCCCGTCTATTGACAGTGGACTGCTTTCTAGGTGACCGTTCCCAAGAAGGTCGCATCCGATGCAGCCAAGTGAGCACAAAGTGTTGTCTCTGGTTTAGTCATCCGTGTGTGCGTCTGCCCATGCTTCATTTAGGGGTTTTGCCTTTGTCCAATTCGCTGGTCGCGAGTCAGCCGAGGCGGCATTGGCGCACATCACGGAACATCCACTGACGCTCAATGGTGAGTGAGTGGGTGCGTGAATACGTGAAACAGACGCCAAGATGTCCTTTGCATGCGTGTAGGCCGTCAGGTCAAAGCAGACTGGGCTCAGGATTCACGACTGTATGAGCACCGGAAAAAGGTACTTTGCGCACAGACAGAGAAAGGAGCCATTCGCGCATACGATTGAATCTATCTTTTCTGCTCCATTCTTTCAGCTCCAGCCCTTGCTGTCTCAGCTGGAGCCCCTGAAGCCATTCAGGTTCCCCCTCGCACAAGCCCTCGCTCAGCCCGGCCACTCCACATCCCCCACAGTGCGCATCAAGGAGGAACCAGTCGATGGCGCGCTAGCGACAGACGACCAGCCAGAGCCAGTGGAGCAGCCGAGCAAGCGCCAGAGGGTGGCAAATAAGGAGGTCTCGCCCATACAGGAGGACAGCGACGTCATGATGCCGACACAGGATGAGATTGACCGGATGAGGCATGCGGCCCTCTCAGCGGCCAAAGGAGAGGACACCGCCGGTATGGCCAAACAGCCCGACGAGGAACCGGATGGGACTGTCATCAAGCTGGAGGGGGGGAGTGGTGAGGCTGGTGGTGGTGATGTCAGCGACTCGATCAAGGCGGATAGTGGTGTCAGGAAGGGCAGTGATCTGTCTGAGGGCCGCACCATATTTGTCCGCAACCTGCCGTACGACGCCACATCAGACCAGCTGAGGGAGCTTTTCAGCCAGTTTGGAAGAGTCCTCTGCGCGGCCATAGTCAAGGACAAACAAGGTCCGTCGCCCACATGCCCACCAAGCTTTCCCGGATCTCTGTGTGTGCTGTGGTGCTTCCTTGCCTCCTCAGGTCAGCCGAAGGGCACGGCCTTCATCAAGTTCGCCCACCAGCAGTCAGCCGATCGCGTCCTGGCCGTCGAGCAGGAGGCGAACAGCAAGCTCAAGGACACGCAATCGGCCAAGGGGGAAGAGGACAAGGCGACCACGGGCGGCAAGAGGAGAGATCGCCGTGTGGATATGCAGACTGGCGCCTTTCTGCCGCTGGAGGGGCTGGGCATCCACTTGGGGGGCAGACGGATACACTGCTTCAAAGCGGTGAGCATAGATCAGTTTGCTCCCCACCACGCCATGAGCACCACTGCTGTTGCCCCCGGACTCTCCGTGGCTGGTCAGGTCGCCCCTGCTGAAGTGGAGACGTTGGACTCTCATCGACAAGAGCGAACGTGAGCATCTGCAATACCTCGAGCATTCGCGCGTTCGTTCATCTGTGTGTCGCTGTCATCGGGATGCGTGTCCGTTAGTGCTCTTCGTCAGGCCAAGGATCGGCTGATGCGCCTGGCCAAGGAGGGGTATATCATGCCCGACTCCCAGGATGCCAAAGACATGCCCAAGGGCGACATGAAGCGTCGCGAGGCCGCATGGGCGGAGAAAAAAGTCAAACTGAAAAACCCAAACTATGCCATCAACCCACTCCGTAAACACGCAGAGGGCACGAGGACATGTGTGCTTGCCTTCCTACGTTATATTTTCTGGTGCTGCTGTCTATCAGGCTTGTCTATTCGCAATCTGCCCTTGTCTGTCGACCCCAATGGGCTGCGATCGGCCATCACATCCTTCCTGACCAGTGACGACAGGGGCAAGGCAGCTCTCAGGTGACGAGCCGTGCGATCGGGGGATGATGCCGCGGCACAGTCACATGAGACTGGTTTCTCGTCTGCATATTCAGGGCACCTCCATCTGAGTGGGACGAGCCACAAGCGAGACTGGTCGACACGGTCGGCCTGCAGGATGACAAGACGCTCAAGAAGAAAGCGGCGGCGTCCGTCAAGAGGGTAGGCGTCAGTATGGTGCCCACGCAGATACCTGTTTGATCACTGTATCATCAAGGTCAAGCTGGTCCGAGACCAAGACCGCAAGACCTATGTCGGGTCGCTGGGGCAGGAGAAAGTGCGACGATCGAAGGTCGGATGGCCTCCGCCCATACACAGCCACCCGCATATGTCTTTCCTTGACTGTTGACGTGCATGTATCTAGGGTTTTGCGTTTGTTGACTTCGGGCGGCATCGCGTGGCGCTGGCAACCCTCCGCTACCTCAACAACAACCCCACCGTGTTCGCCAAGCAAAAGTGAGCATGTGTGGTAATGCCTAGTATTCACATATCTACGTGCGCTGGTGCTTACCCGATGCGCAGGCGTCCCATAGTTGAGTTTGCCATTGAGGATAAGCGAGCCCTCAAATACAAAGTAGGCACGTGCATAGGCAGCGCACCAACAGGCACGGCCACACTGGCTGCATGCTGTCTTGCTTCTCCGCAGGAGATGCGCCGCGAGAAGGTCAAGAAAAGAAAGGCAGCAGCACTCGAAAAGCCGGCAACCGACGAGGTGCAGGCCGAAAAAGAGAAAATGGCAGCGGGCGGGGAGCCGAGGGAGGACAGCACAGCAGAGATCAAGAAGAAAAGCAGAGGTCCGGATGGACGTTTGCAACCGCATACTCAGACTGGAATGTAATGCGTTGTGTGACGGGCTGCAGGTCAGCGTCAGCGTGAGAGGCGACGCCAAGAGAGGGATACTGAGGAGCACCAACAGACGCAGGATGAGCCACGGGCCACCCAGAAAAGGAAGGTGGAGGATATCGCCACGGTACTCGACAGACATCTGCATACGTTGCATGTGTTGCATCGAGAAAATGTTGTTGCACCAGGATGCATCGGCCGAAGCGGTGAACTCCCACCGTGGGGCCAGCGCTGCCCGCTACGGCATAAGGTGGAAGAAGAGAACCGTCCATGAGAGTGACGACTTGGAGGTGAGGGACGGCCACACGAGCAAGTCCGCGAGGGCATTACAATTCTTTCTTGCACTTGCACTTGCACTTTTTGTCAGTTGTCGGCTCTCGCCCGTCGGAAGCGAAAACTGAATCTTCTGCATACGTCAACGAATAATGTGACGTATTGACTGTGATGCCGTTTCTGTTTTGACCGCCCACCAGCTAAGTCACACTCACACTGCTCTGACCATGCAACACGAGAGGGCTGAATTTAAGTTCGCGAGAGTCACCTCTTTTACTCCAAGCATCTTTAAGGCACGTGACAAAGGAGGCGACATGCAATGGATCAGTCTGCCGATATCACCATCGGCTGCTATTGTCCCCTGGGTCCCCTTGCTGTTCGTTGCAATCATCCCTGCATCTATTTTTCCTTCTTAGCCGTCCTGGAAACGGCGAGGCAGCCTTTGCTGGCGAGGCAGGCCGCCAGGGGGGACGTAAGGGGGGTCGGTCGGTTAGGGGTTTGACGAGGGTTGGGTGGTAGGCTGTTGGTTGGTTATTGTGTTTAACGACGTTGGTTGGTTGGTTGGTTATTGTGTTTAACGAGACTCGTGTCTGTAATCCCGGAGGGGATCCTGTCCATGTCACGCACTAAACTAGCAGCATGCACATGCATAGAAGCATGCACACGGCCTATCTCCCTATAACCCACCTAGACATGCACGTGCCACCGGGTCCCTATGATGGTCAGAAAAATCACTGTCGACACCGGCTGCACATGTACAAAGAAACAGCCAGACATATGCATGACGCACAGAGGCTACTCAGAGAGCGACGTCGAGCGCCCACTGATCCAAGGCATACTGTTCATATGCCAAGTCATCCTCTGCCGCCTGAGGGAAATGAAGAGGACGTCCCAAAGGTTCGAGAAACGGATGATTGGCCTATACATAGCCGGGCATGAACATTCCCGCTGTGTCTGACCATCTCTTTGCGTCTGCAGCAGTAGCATGCGGTGCATACACCGCATCTGTTTGTGCTTAGCGGTTTTTGTGACCTTAACAGCAGTCCTCCCTTTCATATCGGCGAAGGCTTATCCGGATTGCACGAGGGCGTCCTGGTTGACTGATTGATTCGTTGATTGATTGATTGATTGATTGCGGTTTGTTGCTGTGAGTGACACAATGTGTGTCGCCTTACTTGAGGTCCTTGCCTTTGTTCTGTCAGTGGACGCTTCGTTGGCGCCCGATGAGCGTCGCTCCTGTGTGTGTGTGGTTCGCTGCCCTCGCTGAGGGTTCATGCACTGTGAAAGCAGTGCGTCCGCTTGATGCTCACCTGAGTCACTTGATGTGCTTGACGAATGATGTCTCTCTTCGTTGATGCTGTAGCTTCTTGTGCACACCTATTGCAGGCCGCAGACGTACATTCAATAAAGGGTGCCACGCGAGGTGGCGGAGGAGTCATACACATGCTTGTCTGTGTCCATCGTACACAATGAAAGATGAAAATCTGTCTTTGTCAAACAAAGTTCTCTTTGCGGGATGAAAGTCTGATCGGGAATGAGCGGAATGGACCGCTCGGCCAGTAGACACGTTGTCAAAAAGACAGTCTAGGGTTTTGTTGTCTAGGGTTTGAAACCCCAGAGGGAGATCCTCAGATGGAGATCCTCAGATGGAGATCTTCAAATGGCCGGGATGTCTGGCTTGGATTTCCATCCTAGCCCGCCTATCTTACTTATACGGTGCTCCATGCTTCCCACGGGACACCCCTGTCAGCTGCATGTGATTCTACCTTTCCTGTCCCGATCGATTGCTTTGTGCCTCTCCTATTCCTGCCTGTCTTCATGCATTCATGCACACATACATGTATCTGTCTTGTCTGCTGCCCATGGACCATCTCTGACGACCCTTTATGCTCAAGTCTACACTACAATCACCATGTGCTCATGTCCTGGCATTCAATTCGCCGTTACATTCCATTGCTATGATACAGCGGCTGCTCATGTGGGGCCAAGATAACCACACGTGGCCGCGTTTTGGACGCTTCTGT